CAACAACATATATATATATATATATATATAACGCGAACACCACGATTGCTGTGGTGGCCACAGGAAAGAGGGGAAGTAAAGATTTCACGCGCGCTGCCGCCGTTCAACGTAGCCGCGGTGTTCACGCGACACAAACGAGGACGCGTGGGTAGAGACCCAAACAAGACGGTAAGACGGGGACAATGTGCCTCCATGCACACAAAAAATAATAATAATAATAACTCAATGCGACAAAGGCAAAAAAAAAAAGAACGACAAAGAAGCGGCATATAAAGCAAAAGACCAGAACGCCAACGGCAACATCAAACTGAATTATACCTCTCCCTCTCCTTCACTCTTTCTCTAATATTCCCCCTTCTTTGTTTCACTCTTCCCCCCACCCCCACCCCCACCCCCCACCTTCCTTCCCCTCTCATTAAGGGCAGCTGCCATACGTGAGTCAACAAGTCCCCACCCGCACCATCACCTCTATCAAAGAAACAATACTCATTGCTTAGTTTTATGCATATATGTTATGTATGGTATCCATCTACGTAACTCTACGTATTTATACGAGGCAACCCTCAAGTTAAGGGGTCCTCCGCATTTGCTACCGTCCCTTCTTCTCCCGCTCCTCCATGAGTATCAGTGCGATGGCACGAACGACATCCAGATCTTTGCTGCTGAACTTGAGCGCCGTATTCCCCCTGCACCCCTCGAGCCCTGACCCCATCGATCGCGCGGTTTGGTCATCACCACCACTACCGCAATTCTTGTTGTCACTCCATTTGCCCATTTCGTCGCTCGTTTTCAGTGTCGCCGCGGCCTCGCCACCCACACCCCACCCGTTCTGCTCCCCACCACAGCCTCTACCGTCATTACTACCACGTTCATCCTTACCGATTCCCCAGGCGTAGCAGAAGCGCGCTCCCAGCTCCGATGAACGCAGGTGTTCTCTCCTACTCCGCTCACTCTCGGGCCTCTTCAGTGCCACTGATAGCACATCAAAGTCCTCGCCGTCATCCTCCGGATTGGGCTCAACAGAAGACACCTGTGAGCCACTGTTTTGCCTTCTGTCCATGTCTTCAGAAAAGTCAGCCTCAGCCGTTCCAAGGAAGGAGGTCGGCCTGTCACTGCCCCGAGGGCCCGTGGATCCAGCGGCGTACGACCGCCCTTCGCGTGCCCAGACCAAATAGGAACGCTCCGTCTTTCGCCATAGCCACTCAAACCGGTGTTGGGAAGAACACACGGAGGTGAACCCAGGCAACTGCTGAGCAAGCGGCGCATCCAAGCCCGCCTCCACCGTGTCAACCGCCATAGATGATGCCAACTGACCTCGACACGGCTCTTCCTCGTCCACGACAGGCTGCGGTGGATACCCCATGGCAGCACGGGGACGAGGTGAGACGTTGGCATCGTCGAGGAGGAACATATTTTTAAAGGGCATACCCACCAATTAACAAAACGTTGTACAGAAAACACGTTTTTCAAACTGAAACAAAAATAACGGTGTTTGTCCCGGCGTCAAGAGATGCGTCTGTAAAAGCCGTAGCGCAGATGCAACTCCCAAAAACTACTGTACGCATCTATGCACACATACAAATAAACAGAGAGAGAGTGAGAAAAAAAAAAAGAGAAACAATAAGTCCGTGAATGCGAAACCCAAAGAAGGTCTCAAATGTATCTCTGCGTAAGCTATGTCGCCTCACAAGTTATGCTATCCCCGACTTTATTTTTATTCTGTGTCACTTGTACTCGGAATCCAACTGCTGGTAGGTGAAGTACCTATTCCTGTTTTAACCGCTGCATAATATATATATATATATATATATATATATATGCGTGTGCGTGTGCGTGTGTGAAAAGCCATAAAAGGAGATAAAATAAAGCGTAAAATCCACTGTGCACATACACCTATAACTCTCAACATAGCAAAAAGTGGCGCATTACTCAATACACACGTAGAAGAGAGGCAATATATATATATATGGTCTTGATGCGTCGTCCATCCCCATGTTTTTATCTTTCCACCCTGCCTTACCTTTCTTTGGTAGTGGTCATCGATGCGGAAGGAAGTGAGAGAGGGAGAATGAACGACGACTTCGGCTGAACGATGGGCACCGCCTCCCGCCCCTATACTTTATCCTGCACGCATATAACATCAACACTTCAACAGGAGTCTCACAGCTTCAGAAAACAAAGCACTCTATTAAACAAAGACGCACACACATACACAGAGAGGAAAGAGAAACAAACAAACAAACTTGGCACTTCACGATAAATCCCGTTCACTCTCAAATTGTGTGAGTTGTGTTTTCATCTATTCCGCACGGTTTTCTGTTCACCGCCTAATATGACACTCATGACATTTTTCATCCTACTAACAGCCTCAACCTCGTCAGGAGCAGCGTCGCCACTCTCAGTGCTAGTACTAGCAGAACCACTAGTAGTAGTGGAAGCAGTTGTGCTTACTCCTTTTCCAGTATTTGTGGCAGATGTGACGGAAGTCTGGCCCTTAGCCGAAGGTTCCTTGTCATCCACCGTTATCGTTGTTCGCTTCCTTTCGCTCCACTCGCGGCCCACCTGCATATTCCGCACCTGCCTAATGCGCAGGTCTTCCTTCCGTGGTTCAAAGAAAACCACACCGGGGGGATCCTGTGCGCGACGTACGAGTCGGCCTTTGTCCTCGCCGAACCTCGGCCACCCCTTTACCTCCTCGTCTAACTCCATCTGTCGGCGACGAGCGTACTCCAGGGCCCGCAATTCCTGGCTTCGCGACAACGATGCCGCGTTGTAGTCATCGTCATCATCGGGTAGTCGCACGAAGGTTCGCACGCCGAAATTTTGCGCATCCGCAGCTTCCCGTGCAGCACGAACGCGTTCATTCATCTCTTGTCGTAAACGATGCATCTCCGACATCTGCTCATATCGTGCCAAACTTTCAGACATTTTCCAGCCATCATCGTGAACCCAATCTCGGTATTGGCGATATGCCAGCAAAAGAAAAATCGATAGCCCAAGGTACATCACAAGACCACGCAAAAGAAGAGATGAAAACGGCATGCTCCACGCCCTTCTAATTTGCGTGCGAAACGCAAACGGATTCGACGATGAAAAAGAATTCTCTGCATAACTTTGGTTTCGTTGCTGGTAGTTATAGTAACTATGGGACCGCATGGAACCCTGACGAAAAAAATCCCCATTTGGGGAGTCATAAAAACCCCGTGCGTCATGTGTGGTACGGGCGTTATGTGCAGCGTAACCAGACGATGTTTGGTAGCGATGCCCGCTGCTGCTGCTGCTGCTGCTTCTCCCAGGGGCGTAGTAACTTCCTCCACGATAGGTCTCCTTCTGCAGCTTGTATTGTTCCTTCTCCAGCTTTGACATGCCTCTTAGTCGATCGTAGGCAACCGTGATGCGACTCATCGCCGCTTCCTCGCCGCCAGCGTCGGGGTGATGCTTCCGCACTAAATCACGATAAATCGTTTTAAGCTGCCGCTGGTCGCAATCCGGCTCCACCCCTAGAATACTGCACGCCTCCGACACCTCGACGAAGGTGGGGGCGCGACGGGCACCGCCTCCACTGAAGCGTCGGGCACACAAAAGAGTGCAAAACCGCAAAGAGCTGCGCTGGTGTGCCTGGAGGAAAGCGGAGTGCAGCCCAACGCGGCGGCAAACGGATGCAAAACGATAGCCACTGGATCCCGACGACGCACCACTGAGACGCAGCTGCAAGGCGTTGAGGAATGACACAGACGACGATGACGACGAAAATGAGGAGAAGGAGCATCTGCTCCGCAGTCGTGCCTGTGACATGTAAGACAGCCACATTTGGAGGAAAACGCACCGCAAGTGCATCGCACCACGGACCCCCTCCCTCTCCCACCTCAGGTGAACGCCGCCGGATACCTCTAAGGGGCGTAAGCAATTTTTGTCAACCCCGCACACTTTTTTTCCCCCAGTTTTGTTTTAGTTTTTCCTTGTGCCTTCTTCGGTTCTTGCGGTGCCCTTCTTCTTCTTCCCGCCGCCCTAAACCCCCCGCTGCACCTACTGGGCGACTCACTATCCTTCCCTCCGATAAAAAAAAAAATCGAGGTGAAGAAAAGCACAACAAGAGGTGCAGGTGACACCGGCGCGGCAGGAACGCACCAGACACCGTCAACGAAAGAAGATCCATGCGGAGTCCACAGCAACCCGCCACCCCCTCCCTCCCCCCACATCCGCACAGGAGAAAAGCAGCTCAAACTGGCGGCGTTGTGTTCAATGTGTATACGCGTCTTTACGCAAAGGAGGACAGTCAAACAAGCAGCCTAACACGCAGAAGGGCAGGTAAACGGTGCGTAATCGTATACACAGAAAGTCAAGAAAACCACATAAAGGGAGGGGCACCAGCTCCTAAAAATGCCCCCTCCCCAAAACAAAAAAGGAATAAAAAAACAAAACAAAACAAAAGCAAAAGCGCTGGTGTTGGAATAAGAAAAACAGAGGAAAAAAAAGGAAAAAAAAGGAAAATGGCATGAAAGAAAAAAAGGAAGGAGAATGTATGCATATATATATATAGTTCCTTTCTGTTTTCCCCCTCTCTATCCCCACCGCACCTGCCTTCTGACAGTGTCGCTCTCTTCTCCTGTACGTTGCGTTTATTACTGATGTAATTCTTGCATCTTTTAAGTAACATATTTCTTTATTTGCAGTGGAGAGTGTAAAAAGTGATGAAAGCATGTTTTTTTTGTTTTGTAGTTGATTTTGTTTGTTTATTTTTTCTTGTTCTTTCACACTTGCAACGCTTCTCCGAAGCTGATCCCCCACCCCTGGCCACACAAGCATAAGTTACCCACGCGGGTGAACTCAACACACACACACACATACATACACACACACACACAGACGTATGTACAGGTAGTCCCCGGGGTCATTCGTCTGCAACCAAAATGGAGCATAAACCCATGGCCGCCCATTTCTGCCACAAAAATAGAGATAAAGAAAGGGGAAAAAAAAGCACCACTTGAATAATTAAATATATATATATATATATTATACTATATATTTGCTTATGACCGTTTGTGCCATGCACTCCGGCACACTGAATTCTTACAGTCAATACCCGCCAAGTTAAACAGTCCATTTTCTTCTTCTTTTCTCTTGTGGCATCTTGCCAGGTCGTTTGATTCAGATATAAATAACGATGAATTAGCTTATGCTTTCTCGCATACAACGCATGTTTGGTGGTATCCCTCCTCCTGGCGGTGAGCCGATTCTCACGGCTTGGAACCACCCGTATCCACACACCCACACGACTGCGCCATGTTTACTAGACTAGACGGGGTGGTCGACACACAAGCACACACCCCTTTTCATTTCGGATTTCCTGTTCGCTTCGCACCAACTCGCATCATCACTTCATATGAGAAATCGCCTTCTCGATGCTTACAGAAAGTGGTCAGAATACACCAGGAAAGCAGAATAGTGGTTTTTTTTTCTGGCATTAAGCCATTTCCCAGTAATAAATAAGAAGAAAAAAGAAAAAGGTGGGAAGGCACACATGATAGAGAGCGTGCGCCCAGCGAAGACAGCGCCCTTTCCTCCTCCAAGGAGAACGGAAGGCATACACACATACACAAATATGAGAAACAACCTGGTTCATCGTGCCCATTATTCCAAGCTGAGTAAGATCTCCCCAACACGCACAAAATACCAATCACATGGGTACATCAAGGCGTTCTACGACAACCAGGCTCCCGTTGTAAACTCACAAAGTTGCCGTTGTTGAGGCACCGATACAAACCAGACCCTTCCGCATGAAGGGCACGAGTATTAGCAGGGGGTTGGGAGAGTGGAAGGAGAGTAAAAACAAACTGCGCTCCTGCCAACTTTCAGCACAACACCATTTTATATATATATATATATATACAACAATTATTATAATAAAGCAGGCCATAGATGTAGAAAAAGACAACCAACACACACACACGCACACAAGAGAGAGAGAGAGAGAGAGAACAAACGAACACTACAAGGGAGCTTCACAAATCATTTACCTCGTTGCTTCCTCCTGGGCGCACACATCTCTCGCAAGCACCTCCGCCTTGTTTCACCTCTCATTGGCCTACTCAGCATATATATATATATATATATAATGAAGATAATCGCATAATAAATTACGTATTGCGTTGTTCCTATACATAAAGGGGAAGCTCAAAACAAGAGAAACACAAGAGTGTCAGTAGAATAGAAGGGAATAATAAACGGAAGAAAACACACAGTCCAAAAACAGAATAAAAAAAAGAAACCAACCGCCAAATACCAGCGATAACACGAAGAAAAAAAGAACAAAACAAAAACAACGACAACAACACGAAGAAAAAAAGAAAAAATAAAATAAAATAAAATTAAATTAAAAAAAAAAAAAAAAAAACGAAACAAGCTAGCAATGACGCAAGATATTTTTCTTCTTCTTCTACCTCTCTCCCCCTCCCTCCCCTTTGTTTTCGCTCAGATCCCGCTCCAGGGAGCCCGTGAATATGTGTCTTGTGTGTTTTTGCCTTTGCTTTGGATTCCGTTGCATCTCAAGTTGCACGACAAACACCAAAAAAAAAAAAAAAAAGAATTTCCCCCACCCCCTGAGAAGCACGCTTCACACACACACACATTCAGCCCGCCCTCGCATGCGGAAACTAAGCATTTTCCCACCCCTCATCGAATACCCTACCATTCTTCGTTTGTTCCCTGCCTTGCAATTCCACGTTCAACCTCGCCTCGCCAACGGCCTTGTCCCTGCATTCTCTCCAGCATTCCACACGCGCATGCGCGTCCTTAATGAGAGGGGAATACACAATTGTTTGTCTACTAGTTTGCTTTCTGTTCTCGTCGATGTTTTTATTTCCTTTTCTAAAAAGTGGTTTCCTCCTCCTTCGCTCACTGCAGAGCAAACTTCAGCTCATCCAGTGAGGCGATTCCTTTGCTGTTGTATGTGCAGCGCCAGACAGTGCGGTGCGGCACGTCCAGCCGCACGCAGCTTTCCGCGGATGTGCTGCCAAAGTACGCAAGCAGCGCCCGTAGAACGGCACGATGCGCGACGACAACGACGACGCAGTCGGCATTTTCAAGCTGCATAATCACCGGCTCCAGTCGCAGCACCAAGTCCTGATAGCTCTCCCCCTCTGGGTAGCGGAAGGTGTACTTGTTGACATTGCGAAAATGATCAATCAGCGGGTGCCGCTCCCGCACCTCCGCATACGTAAGTTCCTCACAAACGCCAGCGTGAATCTCGTTGAGGCTGCTCCAGCGCACAGTTTTGATTCCCAGCAGCTGTTCACCGTTCTCTACGGTCTGAATCGCACGGCGCAGCTGACTCGTCCAAAGCTCCAACTGGCCCCGTCTTTCACCTCTGCCCTTGTCTTCACTACTTCTTGCAGCACACGTTTTTCCATCCGAGGCGTCGAGGCGGCCTTCCCTGCCCGCCTTTTTGTTTGCCCCTGCGGCGCAGTACTCCTTCAGGGAGGCCAAGAAGCCTAGTATTTCATTGGCCCCTTTTTCTCCATTAGGGCTCAAGGCGGAGTCTCCGCCGATGCGATCCTCCAGGTTATATAGCGACTCTCCGTGTCGAACAAAAAAAATGGGATGCCGTACTTTTTGCTGGGTTAGACTCATGACATACGAGACAATACGACTGGCTGTGTAACCCGTCACGCCACGGACTTCAATATCCATTAAATTTCGTAACTTTATGTACCTCTTCTCACGTTGTTTTCCGCACTTTCGTTTATCTAGTCCCATGGCATTATCATGTGACCCCTCGATCGGTGTCATCATATCTTCAGGGGATCCCCCCTGACTACTAGACGTCGAGGTGAGGGTTGTGTAGACCTCACTAAGGTACTCAACGCGGCGTGCAAAGTCCTGTTGAGCCTCCGTCGCAGCCACGTCATGCGGGTACTCGGAGCTATCCTTCACCTTTAACTCATTAAACTTCTGGCTCATCTGATGGCTTCGAATGACCTCCATAAAAAACGTCTGCGAGGCTAGCGGCGAAAAAAGTGCCTCCGCCTCATCTCGCAACTCCTCTGTAGGGAAGTCATCGTTCACAACAAGCACCTCTCCACCATTCGCGTAAAAGGCCTTCGCATCAACAAGGCAGCGCCCGAGTACGCATCGATAAAGACGACGTTCGACACTATCCGGGTCACAAATAAGTGACCGAAAGTGCTCTGCGCATACGTAATCCGTTTGCCGTGACGCCTCCACTGTCGATGAGGAGATTCCAGGCGATGGCAAGGCGTTAGGGTCTGCTGTACTTGTTTGCTCCACACTTATTGGTGTGTCTCTTACAACGTTGCAGCACGCTGGGCCCTGTGATTTTTCCGGCGACTTATCAGTTTCAGGAAGGGCACATCTGGGCGAAGACACGAGGCCATCAGATGATAAACCGGCGGGAGTATCGGAAGACTGACGGCACTTCTTGTATTCCATTAACAGACGTCGCCATACCACCTGAATATTCAATACCTTCGCTCGGCAGCCGTGCCATCCCAGCAGCCTACAGATTTTCTGCGCCAAAAATGTTTTACCCCGCGCAGGAAGCCCCACCATGATAATGCAGAGTGACGCCACACTTGCCTGAGTGGAACTGTTAAAGTACTCGGGTCCCTGACGCGTGATGGGGATGGTGTAGTTGTCAAGCAGGGGGGTAAGCACCTTCAAAGCCGCACTTACAGGGGACAAAGGGTCAGGCTGCAAAAAGGCAGATAAAGCATCATTAAGCTCTTCACAGGAGAGCCCCGAAGCCGTACAGTTGAAGTTGCGAGCAGAAGGCGAATGAATCTGCGGAGCGTCGTGCGCTGCCAGTGCCTGCGCCGAACCTATCTCGGCTCCCATTGGCGGGTACGGCGTCGTAGGGGACTCCTTTGCTTCCTGAGCCTCACGCAGATCCGTAAAAAACTTTGCCTCACGCCAATGCCATGAACTGAAGGGACGGACTGGGCCTCCGACCAGTTCAAGCAGGCGCGCCCCACGCTCGTCGGCGCTGAGCAAACTCCTCCGTGCCTCAGCTGCTGTGGTGACGGACGTGGCGTTGTCGCCGGAGAGTGTTGTGGAGGAGTCGGATGGCTCAAGGGAGAGGTTCATCGCCCACCCACTCGCGCCCGCGTTAACTTTCACGCCGACGCTCATTTGGGGCAACCACGACAGAGAGAGAACCCTATTTCCTCCCAAGCAGTATACGCAACCACTATGTGTGTGTAAGAGAGTGAGAAGGCGATGCGTGAAAACTATTGCGGATGTGCGATGCCAAATTACGTGTTTTCCTCTTTCACGCCGTTCCTCCGCCTCTGAGAAGTATGCACACCTACAACACACCTTACTCCCAAGCCCCCTCCCCTTCCACTTCAGCCAATAAACACAAACTTTTGTATGTATTGCAATGATATATATACACACACGGCACGACACTAAAGAAGTAAAATAGGAAAAGAAAAGAAAAGAAAAAAGCGAGCAGGTATATTACTACAACACTGGCATGATACAACACGTGACATACACGGAGGCCAGGAGTAAGCACCGCCAAGGTGTATTCCTTCCGGCATCCCCTGTCCCCATCCCAAGGCCCTCCAACTTCTTGTTGCAGCTAAAAAAGACAATCGTAGAAGGAGCGCGTGACAAAAAAAAAAAAGACATAAGAAATACTTCAGGACAATGTAAAAGGAGGAGTTTGGATAATGGGTTTCAATGTTCTCCGCAGCACCGCACGTCCACGACAACACCCCATCATTTTGGTAAACTCGTCAACCGCAAACCCGCCTCAATCACAAGTCCGTCGTCGTGCAAAACTAATAATAACACGCACACACATTTTCCGCAGTGGCTTCTTGTGCTGGCTGTCGCTGCACCGCGGGCAAGACACTCAAGCCATTATTCTTTCAGCTCCTTTTTTCTTGCCCCCACCCACCCGCCTCTTTGCCCTCTTCGCCCACACCATTCGAAATGAAGTATGTAGCCGGAGTTTCCGTCGTGTAATACTTCCACTGTGCACCCCGCCGCCGTGACACGGTTGCATACACCATGCACGCAACGGCAAGCAAAAAGAAAGCAAAGACTCCCAGCACAAGACGGGACCCTACAGCAGCATCAATAACGGCGGCCTGCTGGGCTTTTTCCCTGCTTCGCATATACTGCACTTCTGCCTGCGGGGCGAATGCGGCTGACGTCGACGCAAACGTGCCAGGCGGGTACTGGGGGCGGCGGGTGTTGCCTGCTGGGCCATCCCCCAAGCCCCCGGTACGCTGATACTCACAAAAGATACGATCCATCGCCGCTTTCGCTGAGTGACCCTGTGACCCAAACATAAATGAGAGCGCATGCCTAGCTCCCCTCCGTTGTCGGTCTGCCAGATTCCATGGTGGGGCCTCCTCTCGCATCCTCTCCATGCGCTCCCGAAAGGCATTAAATTGAGCTGTTTTGTTTCGTCCTCGGCCTGACTGCGCGCCACTGTCCCCGCCTTGCGGTTCCTGAGATTGCTCTCGACGTCGACCCTCGTATGCACGTTGTGCACGCTGATGTGCGTCGCTATCACGTAAGGAGGACAAAATCATGCGTCGTTCCGCGCTGCTGTACCGCCGCAGCAACCGATATGCCTCCACCCCTCGCCGCATATTTTCTGCGGCGGTTGCTTCATTCCGTGACGCATCCATGTTGCCACCACCCCCACGCTGCGGGTCGGCATCACCACTAGAACTGTGAGGGTTGACGCCGTGGAGCACGTCAGGATGACTCGTTTTGGCAAGCTCCTGAAAGCGGGCTTTGATGTCGCTGTCCGTCGCACCGTCAGGGAGGGAAAGGGCACGCAGTGCGGCGCGGAGCTCCTCCCTGGACACGGTGTGCGTCGAGGAGACACACCGCAACGCGCCAAATACCACCGCACACTCCCCGCACACTCGACGGACTCGCACAACTCGCCTGACTGCAGCCGCTGTGGAGCAGCAGTCGCCCACACTAGCGTGTTTCAACGCTCTGTGCATGCAACATTGTCCACAAGAGAACCTAACCTGCCCCAGCGACATATATATATCAATACAATCCCTGTAGTTGTTTGCGTGCGTTCTCCTACTGCTAGAAAAAAAAACGGGTGAATACCAAATAAATTGCGCAAGACACGGTGTCAAGGACGCCCCATGCTCATCGCTGACAGGTGGCATTCGCTGCAAACCCCCTTTCGTGGCAGCCAGCCGGGAATGCCGTCACCCGCAGTGCTCGTCGAATGGAAAGATGCAAAGAAAACTCAACGTACAGTCGCGCGCGCACACAAACACACGAGTAGGCATATGCGCACAAATGCCCTCCCATGCATGTGTATTGACCGCGGTAGCCTCGGTTCCAACATACACGCAGAAAATAATAATAATAATAATAATAATAAAAGAAAATGGAAGGTGTCATGGTTCCGGATAAAACAACAAACAAATAGATATACAAAAGAAGTAGAAACATAATAACAATAATAATAGCACACAGCAAAACAAACAACAACAACACAACACAACAGTACCAAACTAAACAATAATGATAATTATAGTAATGAGCAACACGTGTAAAAAAAAAAAAAACAGTGCCCCATCATCCTTATTGCTTAACAGGTGTCTGGCTTCGTCCACTCACCATGCATTTCTACCTGTGCATGAAGTACACTCACTTTGATATTCAGTTAGATACTCAGACAGCATATATGCGTATTAGTATAATGGCCCACACTTCCAATGGAAATGGCTTCACCTTGTTTGCGTCTTAATCGGCGCACCTGCGCCCACCCATACCCACTCCTGTGGTTCATCGCATAAACTCTCCGCGCCCCGGCACGGACCTCAGGATTAAGTTAATGAAACTGGCACATAAACATTGGTACAGCCGCTGCGCCGCCAGCGACCTCAAATAATTGAAACCAGAGTGGACCTCCACCACTGAATTTAAGCGTCACGACACTCGCGGTTTCTGCCCACCAGCTACATCTTCCTGCATTAACAGCTTCTGAACGGACAACGCGGTGTCAATCCTCCCACCGCTAGGAAAAAACAAAGACGTGCATGCCGGATGCTGCGGGGATCGGCGCTGTAGCGCGTCCCCCCGCCCGTTGTTCCTGGCGAGGTATGCGAAGACGGCGGTGGCGCCCCCACGGCAGCCCCGAGAAGCAGGTACGCAGCGACCAGCCGAAGCGTGGATACAAATGGGGTGACGTCTGCTCGCGTCCTTGCAGCGGGGGGGGAACAAAGTACGCTGTCAAATTTACGGCAACAACAAAGGAAGGCAAGGAGGAAAACGGCCGAAAGTCACGTGTCCACGTTCAAAGGGTAAAAAGGAGAGCAAAGCATTAAGATGCAACAAATAGCCCATTTAAGAATAATAAAGCTACAGCCTTGTCCCAAGTGTAGAAAGTGTAAAATATGTGTGTGTGTTTGTGTGTAATGGCAACAATACCCAGCGATGTCGTACAAACCCGAGGATACAGCCATAATAATAAAAAGTACGCATAATTTATGCTTTGGCTCACACATCTCATATATATGTCTTTGTTCTCTCTTTTTTTCTCTCTTTTTTTGCCACCCTGCGTTGGTGTACTTTCAATGAGAATTCTTCATTTTGTTTTCGATGTTGCTTCTGCACACTCACTCACTCACTCACACATACACACACACCTACTTTCTCTCTCTCTCTCATCACATTGGCTCTGGACCGTATACAACGGAATGTACCGTCCGCTTGGAACGGTGACGATAGTCTTATGTTCAATCCTCAGCGTCACCGCTGCCCTCCTCAAGGCGCGGTGAAAGTTCTGCGGCGTGGATCTGTGCCAGCTCTGCTGCCGCTTTCCACGGCGCCACGGGATGCTCATCACAGTGACGGAAGCGTGAGCCTGAAGCTGCCCCGCCAACGTACGTGGGATCAGCGAAGATGCCTCGTTTCTCTCCACTCGGTGAGGTGAGGTTGTGAAAACACACCTCTTCCCCGTCAGACGACTTCAACGCCGCCACAGCAGCCTCAAGCTCCCGCTGAAACTGCTCGACAGCCCGCCATGGACCGCGAATGACAACTCCCACCCCGTTTGTCACAGCGTTGGCTCCTTTCTCGCATCCGTCCCTGTTTCCCGCTGCAGGGTAACGGGAAAGATATGGATTGGCCTCCACGTGCTGCTGGTACTGCAGGCTGAGGCCGAGCGCCCGCGCGCGCTGGCGCAAGCCACCACTCCCGCTCTTCCTCTCCCCCACGGGCAAGTTTCCGACGTCGCTACGAAGGTGCCCACCACACTCGGCGCCTTCGTGCGTCTCACTGTGCATCGTCCGGTGTAACACGCGTAGAATGCCTGGAGGAAAAGCAAACACACGTAATACAGTGGCATTAGGGTTGTCCTCCTCCTCTTTTGCATCCCTCTCAGTGGGTTTCCTCTCAAAACAAGCACTCTCCATCTCCGGAAAAGGTGGTGGCTTCGCTGCACGTGATCGCCTGACGCAGTGCTGCTCCCAACAAAATCGATTAAATGTCGGGATGCACGCTCCAGGCACGTCGCCTCCTGCCTCAAGCACAGGAAGACGCAATCCGCACGCCCGCAGCTCCTCTCGCAAACTGTAAATGCTCTCCATCTGCTCCAAATACTTCCCCTCGGCGGTGGAGACAAACGCCTCACGCCTTCGGTAATCCAACACGCGCTGCTGAGCCTCCTGAACCTTCAGCCGCAGTGTATTGCATACCTCCTCCGCGGCCTGGAGTTCGGCGCCACACTCCTTCTGCTTCTCTTCTTCCATGAGAATCCCGGCGTAGAGGGTGCGGAGTGCTTCCTCCTTTGCAGCGTTATTTAATCGGCACAAAGCCGTCTGCCCCTCCAGCTTGCGTACCTGGTAGAGAAACTCGTCACGCACAGACACGAGTAGCCTGTCTGCCTTTACATCACCCTCCGATGTATTCCCTGTTACCGCATGTGGTGTGTGCGGTGGTGGTGATAAATCCGAATAAAGCTGCGTTAGCACTTCCTCCTTCCCGGAGTTTATTTGGGCCTCCAGCTCCGTCTGTGCGCGCCGCTGCGCGTGCACCTCTTCCTGCATCATGCTCACACGGCGGCGTAGCTCCTGCACATCCTGCAGTAAATTCGCATCCTCGCCTGGAGGCAGAGGCGTTTCCGTGGCTTTCATCATGTCCAGGTTTTCAATGGCAAGCATTGGGTTGTGAATGAACTCGGCAATTTTGGGGTGAAGACTACCAGATGGCTCCGGCCTCGTCGCGAGCAATGATACTTGCAGTGGCGTACACGGCGATTGCTGAGATGCCTTGGGTTCCACTTCCCCGGGCATCGTGAGGCACCGCCCGTCACGAAGCACTTCACACAACCCTCCCAGGAATATTTTATTTATATATTCGTAATTAACAGGAAGGGGTGGTAGTGAAATAAACGAAGAAAACAAAAAAAAAAAAAGAATAACAAACACAACAAAAATGATTGCAGAATAACTCCAATGAAATAAAAAATAAAAAATAAAAAAAGTGAAAAAAAAAAATACACCACCGATGGGAGTTAGTGATAAACTCAGCACACAGCCCTTACGGATTTGCATAATTCAGGAGATTCATATGAATATATATATATATATATATATTCATATATTGAAAAGCACACACAGTTGACAGAGGCGCATATATGTAATCGGGTTTTTTTTTCCCTTCCCCCCCCCCCCCACTCTCTCTTATCTTCCCACCGTTCGTTCCTATCCGATCGTTCTCACTCAATAACACTAGTAGTACCAAAAGTACTACAAATCCCCCAATAAACATGCTTTTGCGCAAAACCATCTACCACACTGAAAGCGTTCGTCTCTCTCTCTCTCTTTTCTTTTCTTTTTTTCCGTTGTAGTATCCACTGATGCTCAATGAAACCTCGTCCCGCAGAAGCAATGATCTTTTGTACAGGAAGGACGCTTCCTGTGGTGGTGATCATCACTGTGCCCGCAAGCGGGATGATCGCCATCAGTAGTTACGCTACTACTCTCACTGGTGCTCTCATCGCTACTGCTCTCCCCAAAAAGTTTCTTCTTATGAAAGATGCAGCAACTTTTGCTTACGCGCTGGTTAGTATGTTCTTGTATACCCCTCATCCACGAAACATGACGATTTTGACGCTCTCTGGGCTCCGCTGGTGCAGGCTGCAGATGAAGCACTGCCACCCTGCGTGGCACAAAGTCCTCTTCGGTGTGTCGCTCGTCAGTCTTTGGCGGTTGCGCCTGGCGAGTCAAGGACAACGGCTGCATTCTATTCTCTCTCTCAGCCGTCCTACACCGAATGTAATGTATTCAATAAACCGTCTTTGCGTTTTGGCGTTGTTCGGCTTTGTAACCCTCTGCGCCTCTACGCAACAATAAATGGAGTCCACGCGAGTCCGTGACGCCGTGGTGGTAGCGTATGTAAATGCAGATGTATTTGTATGTAGAGTTGCACGTCGTCACCTCACTCACTCACGTAAGTATTGGCGACCTATTTTTACCCCTGTGAGTCGGCGTGTAAAACTGAGGTAGAGAACTACGCCGTACTGGTCTTGCATGTTTAGGAGTGTGAGCGTGATTGCGCATCGTGGAGAGAAAAGAGAAGCAAGAAGAAAAGAGGCAAGGAGAGATGGAGTGACTGAAGTCGGCCATGGAATTAGCTGACAGACAAACCATCCCACGTCCGCTCGTTCGCCCCTCACCTCGCAGTCGCAGCAGTAGGAGGTTTCAAAAGGCACAAGACACCCCAGGGATTACATCCGTACCGCCCAGATATATATGGAAAACAGATGTCGTTGACCCCACCCCTCTTGCAGAATACGATACACGCCCCCGAGAAAGTACCCACCGTTGTATCACTGACAAGCCTGCAGGCAGATTCATCCTCATCGCCGTCGCCTCAGACACGCACCTTCCCTCTTCCCCGCGTCCGTTCAATATTCCCACACACCCCAATATATATTATATATACTCCCATTTTTCCTACGTCCTTCACTCTCACGTATTCACCAAGCCACATGCGTAGCCGTCGTCTTCTCAGCGGCTTCCTCCCGCTCACGGCATCCATCTCGTCGCACAGATGGTCCCCTTCCCCTCTCGCAACCCGTGAGAAAAAAAACCCACGCAAAGCACAAATTTCACTAGTCAAATAAACGGCACACACACACACATTCGCTTCTACCAAAAAAAAAAACAAGAAAAGATGAATGCCCACCATTAGACGCCCAAGCCCTCCTTGCAGTTGCGCCAAAGACAACCAGGAGTGCTAGTGCTTCAAAGCTGCGGCACATGCGCATATGCGTGGGTGGGTGGGTAAATATAGGTATGTATAACGCTATGCGTATACTTATGCACATGTAACTCGGTATACAAGATACGACGAACACGCACGCACAGCAAGAGAGAAAAAAGGAGAGTGAAGAGAAAATTCACAAACAAAAAAAAAATATATGTGATGTTCGCATTGCTCGCATCAACTTAATTTGAAAGTAGCACACAAACTGAGATATGCTAACATATACTAATGTAGTCTAGGCAAGTGATCAGAGTGAGACGCATGGATACAAAACCGTACAGGAGTGAGCTCCAAAGGAAGGTGGCATTCATGCGCATGCCATGCGCGAACGCGTTACCCCTGCGTTGGGCTCGGTTGGAGGAAGAAGAGGCCTTGATAGGCGGAGGCCAGCCGCACAGCGCCACACACACACACACAAGAAAAGCAAAGAAAAAAAAAAGGAATGCTGCTTCAAAGTCAATGAGAAGAGGCTTAAAACGGTGATAAAAAAAAAACAGGGGGGTGAGGGAGCCTCGCAAAGCAAAAATAAGGCTCACTCTTCCCCTTGTCGTTTCGTTTTTCTGCCTTCTTCCTCCAAACTCTTGTACTGGCAGCAAATGCATCGTCCCCTTCTCTTTTGTTCAATTTTATAATTGGTCGCTCAGGCCACTCGCGTCCTTTCCCCTCCCTGCAGTTAATATGTATGAACGGTGCATATAGTGATGTAAGCAACTCTGCTTTGTAGGCGCCGGAGCGCAAAAAGAACAAATCCCAGAAGCAACCAAAGCAAAAAAAAAAATGGTGGTAGCGGGGGATGGGGGCCCCTCTATTTCCACTTACCCTTTCAAGTAACCATACGGTCTTATATATGCATAGAGAAGTACAGATGTATAGATGGATAAGGTGGTGTAGGGAAACGACTGTGATAACACAGCGGTAAAGGTGGCAAGAAACAAAACAAATGCACACAACCCACAGACCTACGTCTATGCATATAAATATATATTTACGTATATGTGCATTCATAGGTAGGTATATATCGGTGTGGGGCCAAGCCGTAATAAAATGTACAGCAACGTGCAAGTAAGCACGACACAGAAGCACACGTATAAAAGTGACTGCAGCAGCGTCGCAAAGAAAAGAAGGGTGGGGGAACTGACAGCGAGTGAAAAAGAGCCCATCGGTCGATGCAGAAGGAAGGCACACATACAAAAAAAAAAAAAACATTGAAAATAACCCCTTGGCACGAGGCCGCCGGCATTGCACGGACGGTGATGGTTCCCCGCACACGCCGCCACCCGTGCGAGCCCGAAGGCACAGGCAGCACCGGCACGGAGAGCCACAATAAGCAAACAAACCAAGCTAAGAAAAAAAAAAAAACAGAGAACCCCCCCCCCCCCCACCCCACACACAC